AGCCTGTCACACATCAGCAGAATGATGATGCTCAGAGTCAACAAGTGTGAGGACATGGCACGGTTGGTCGATGGAGTGTACACTGGTGAGTCTCTGTGAAGTCCATTTGCTGCCATGTATCGGCATGAGAGATGTGCATGCCATTCAACACAGGCATCGTCTTGGACGTGTCATCAGAAAACAAGCATTAGAAGTAATATTTCTAGTGTCAGAAAATGGGAAGCAGCTTGTAACTCTCCATCAGTAGAGGAAAGGTTAGGTAAATTATGGGACACCCAACAGTGGGATGCCATACAGGCAGTGAAACATAAAGTCGAAGAAGATGTACAGACAGAAAGAACGTGATTGATCTGCTCTTTGGGGGAAAGATCTTGCCCTATCCTGTAGATATGTTTGGGGAACAGCTTATCCCTATGTAGAGGAAATGGAGAGAGGAGGAAGATGGCTGTAACAAAGTACCACAACCCAGGTGGCTCGAACAACAGGCATTTACTGTGTCTCAGTTCTGGAGGCTAGAAATCTGCAGTGAAGGTGTCGGCAGGGTTCGTTTCTTCTGTGGGCTGCGAGAATCTGTTCTATCCCTGCGTCCTACCTTCTGGTGATTGGCAGGCAATCTTTGGCTTGTGGAAGCATCTCCTTGATCTCTGCCTTCATTTTCTCATAATTTTCTCACTGTGTGCGTGTGTATCTCTAATTGCTCCCTTTTTAAAGGTCACTGGTCATAGGTCATAGTGGATGTGGGCACACCCTCAGGACTTTACTTTTACTTGATCCCCTGCGTAAAGACCCAATCTTTATATATAAGGACACATTCTGAGGTGCTCAGAGTTAGGGCTTCAACACAGGAAGTTTGAAGGGACACCATGCAACAGATACGAACCTGCAAAGGCCCTGTGTAGGAAGAAAGATGGCATATTCTGGGGAAGGAAGGATTGCCTGTGTGACTGCATGCTGGTCACTAAAGGGGAAAGGAGAGCAGACGGCTGAGTCATGGAGCCAGATCATGGGGGACCCCTGTGAGATGTGTGGATTCTGTTGTGGTTGGAGTGGGAATCCCTTGGAAAATTTGAGCACAGGATTAACATAATCTGATTACCCCTGTGCCAACGCCACTATGACTGTAATGTGGACACCAGGGTGCAGAGGGCAAGGGCTCAGGCAGGGGCCGATGGGGGAACTGTGTGAAAAGGCAGCAGGACATGAAGGGCTTGCACAGGGATTGTGGCCTTGGAGAGTAAGAAAGAGATGAGATTCAGGTTAGGAGTTGGAGATGGTGCCATGTGACATTGGCAGGTGTAGGAAAGAGAGGAAGGAAAGAGTGCTGCTAGGTCTGGGGCAGGAACGCCAGGTTGGTGATGTCACTTACAGAGGTGGAAGGGAGGTGGATCTGGCAGGAGGTGGAGGCACGTGAGGGCTCAGAGGATGGGTCTTTCTTCACATGGTGAAGGGTGTGCCGGGAAGTTCCTATGGTAAAAGAATCATCTCCTCGTGGGAGAGGAGTAGGTACTGATTCTGAGTGAGAGAGGACAGTGGTAGGACCCAGGTCCTGGAGTGAGACACAGAAGCGCGGTTGACAGTGGCAGCTCACCTGAGAAGTGGGAGGATGGCAGAAGATGTGCTGCAGAGTCAGGCAGGACTGCAGGTTGGGAAGGGAGCGAACACCAGAGACTCACGTCGCGGCAGGGCCTTGATCCTGAGTGTGGGCATGTTTTCTTAGAATCATAGGAGATTCTGAATTTAAGTGCATGTATTTGAGGAAAGGACAGGGAGGTGCCAAGCAGAGTGGAGGGAGGCGGCTCATGGGTGTGGTACAGACCCAGGGGATGAGTCCCCAGTCCCAGTGATGATGACAATGATGACAAGAGCAGCCACCATCTGACTGCCTTGTGAGGTACCAGGTACTGGGTTGGGTGCTCTCAGTGCCTCATCTCCTGACCTCACGGCTACGAGGAAACTGAGGCTTCTTGACATGCAATGACTGGCCAGAGTTTCTGTCTTCAGGCCCATGGCTCTACCTGCTGAACTATCCTTGAGCCAGGAGGAGTGGCCCCTATGCCAGGGGACAAACAGAGGCAACAGGGACCAGGACAGGAGGTACATGAAGTCAGGTCCTGTGTGATCGACAGTCCTTGCTTCATCGCTCTAAACCTGCTTGTCCTCAGCAGTTCAGTGGGCCTGGCAGGGAGGGTTAAATCTGAGGATGCATGGATCAGTCCCACCCCAGGGCCTCTCACATAGAAGGTCTGTGTGCACTGGGGCTAGATGTTCTCATTCTCATATTTTTTTTCCCTCAGGGCTCAGGTGTGGGACAGGGGAAGGGGCTTGCACAGGGTGGCACCTGAAGGAGTTAGGAGAACACACCTGACGGGACCACCTGAGATCACAGGTCACTCTGAGGGTTGAGCTGAGGTTGGATACCAAGCACTTGTGCTCACCAGCCCTGGGGTAGGAGCCAGGAAGCTCAGGGTCTGCTGTGCCTGGGGCTGGCACAGCCAGNTCCACCCACACAGTTCACATCTGATTGTCGAGATTTCGTGGCGTAAGGAAAAAAGGGTTGGATAAGACACTGAGAGGCAGAAACTGGGAAAACCTTCATTCTAGTCACATATCCCAGTAGAGGAAATGGAGATTGGCAGGCCCCGTGGGGGACATTCCTCATCCCTCCTAAGTAATCCCAAACCAAGGATTAGGGTGAGCCTGTCACACAACAGCAGAATGATGATGCTCAGAGTCAACAAGTGTGAGGACATGGCACTGGTGGTTGATGGAGTGTACACGGGTGAGTCTCTGTGAAGTCCATTTGCTGGCATGTATCGGCATGAGAGATGTGCATGCCATGCAACACAGGCATTGTCTTGGACGTGTCATCAGAAAACAAGCATTAGTGGTGATATTTCTAGTGTCAGAAAATGGGAAGCAGGTTGTAACTCTCCATCAGTAGAGGAAAGGTTAGGTGAATAATGGGACACCCAACAGTGGGATGCCATACAGGCAGTGAAACATAAAGTCGAAGAAGATGTACAGACAGAAAGAATGTGCTTGGTCTGCTCTTTGGGGGAAAGATCTCGCCCTATCCTGTAGATATGTTTGGGGAACAGCTTACCCCTATGTATTAGTTTATAAGATGGCTTTAACAAAGTACCACAACCCAGGTGGCTTGAATAACAGGCATTTATTGTGTCTCAGTTCTGGAGGTTAGAACTCTGCAGTGAAGGTGTCGGCAGGGTTTGTTTCTTCTGTGTGCTGCGAGAATCTGTTCTATCCCTGCGCCCTACCTTCTGGTGATTGACAGGCAATCTTTGGCTTGTGGAAGCATCTCCTTGATCTCTGCCTTCATTTTCTCATAATTTTCTCCCTGTGTGCATGTGTGTCTCTAATTTCTCCCTTTTTATAAGGTCATTGGTCATAGGTCATAGTGGATGTGGGCCCACCCTCAGGACTTTACTTTTACTTGATCCCCTCCGTAAAGACCCAATCTTTATATATAAGGACACATTCTGAGGTGCTCAGAGTTAGGGCTTCAACACAGGAAGTTTGAAGGGACACGATGCAACACATAAGAAACTGCAAAGGCCCTGAGTAGGAAGAAACATGGCATATTCTGGGGAGGGAAGGATTGCCTGTGTGACTGCATGCTGGTCACTAAACGGGAGAGGAGAGCAGACGGCTGGGGCAGGGAGCCAGATCATGAGGGACCCCTGTGAGATGTGTGGATTCTGTTGTGGTTGGAGTGGGAATCCCTTGGAAAATTTGAGCACGGGAGTGACATAATCTGATCGCCCCTGTGCCAAGGCCACTATGACTGTAGTGTGGACACCAGGGTGCAGAGGGCAAGCGCTCAGGCAGGGGCCGATGGGGGAACTGTGTGAAAAGGCAGCAGGACATGAAGGGCTTCTGCAGGGATTGTGGCCTTGGAGATTAAGAAATATCAGATTCAGGTTAGGAGTTGGAGATGGTGCCATGTGACATTGGCAGGTGTAGGAAAGAGAGGAAGGAAAGAGTGCTGCTAGGTCTGGGGCCGGAACGCCAGGTTGGTGAAGCCACTTACAGTGGTGGAAGGGAGGTGGATCTGGCAGGAGGTGGAGGCACGTGAGGGCTCAGGAGGGTCTTTCTTCACATGGTAAAGGGTGTGCCGGTAAGTTCCACTGGAAACAGAATCACCTCCTCGTGGGAGAGGGGGAGGTACTGATTCTGAGTGAGAGAGGACAGTGGTAGGACCCAGGACCTGGAGTGAGACACAGAAGCGCTGTTGACAGTGGCAGCTCACCTGAGAAGCGGGAGGATGGCAGAAGATGTGCGGCAGAGTCAGGCAGGACTGCAGGTTGGGAAGGGAGTGAACACAAGGGACTCTCGTTGCAGCAGGGCCTTGATCCTGAGTGTGGGCATGTTTTCTTAGAATCATAGGAGATTCTGAATTTAAGTGCATGTATTTGAGGAAAGGACAGGGAGGTGCCAAGCAGAGTGGAGGGAGGCGGCTCATGGGTGTGGTACAGACCCAGGGGATGAGTCCCCAGTCCCAGTGATGATGACAATGATGACAAGAGCAGCCACCATCTGACTGCCTTGTGAGGTACCAGGTACTGGGCTGGGTGCTCTCAGTGCCTCATCTCCTGACCTCACGGCTACGAGGAAACTGAGGCTTCTTGACATGCAATGACTGGCCAGAGTTTCTGTCTTCAGGCCCATGGCTCTACCTGCTGAACTATCCTTGAGCCAGGAGGAGTGGCCCCTATGCCAGGGGACAAACAGAGGCAACAGGGACCAGGACAGGAGGTACATGAAGTCAGGTCCTGTGTGATCGACAGTCCTTGCTTCATCGCTCTAAACCTGCTTGTCCTCAGCAGTTCAGTGGGCCTGGCAGGGAGGGTTAAATCTGAGGATGCATGGATCAGTCCCACCCCAGGGCCTCTCACATAGAAGGTCTGTGTGCACTGGGGCTAGATGTTCTCATTCTCATATTTTTTTTCCCCTCAGGGCTCAGGTGTGGGACAGGGGAAGGGGCTTGCACAGGGTGGCACCTGAAGGAGTTAGGAGAAGACACCTGACGGGACCACTGAGATCACAGGTCACTCTGAGTGTTGAGCTGAGGTTGGATACCAAGCACTTGTGCTCAGCAGCCCTGGGGTAGGAGCCAGGAAGCTCAGGGTCTGCTGTGCCTGGGGCTGGCACAGCCAGGGAGCTGAGAGTATCAGTGATGTCTGGGTAGGGGGAGGGCAGCAGGAGTAGAAGCAGAGCCCAGGACTGTCCCTGTGTGCTGTCAGAGGGCTGAAGCCAGCCCCGACTCTCACTAGCCCACACACCTCTGTGTTGCCCTCGGACTTGATGACCTCTGTAGTAGCACTGATCACACGCTGTCCTGCCTGTGCCTTTCTCTAGCTGTCCCTGCCACAGTCCGTGAGCTCTCCGAGCATTCCATCAGGTGGATCTGAATCACCCAAATCCCAGCCTTCCCAATCCCAGTCTTTCCTTGGGCCTGCTGTGCTGACAGATGGAAGCAGTGAACCATCGAGCTCAGTGGGGATTCAGGGCACCTGGGAAACTGGGTGAAGGTCGGGCCCACTGGCCATGAGCTTGGAGGACTGGTGTGTGATGAGCTTCTGTGTTCCCACAGGCCACCGAGGCCCAGAGAGCTTGCGGAAGATGAAGATCTATTGCCTCTCCTTCCGGCAGCCTTATTCTGGCTTTGTCTTAAACGGGGTAAAGACCTTGGAAACACGTTAGGGTCCCCTGATGGGCAACCACCAGAACCATACCATCGCCAGGCCTTGCTTCCAGAAGGGGAGAATTTTGGCCGAGGACTGGTAGCTGGTAAGTGACAATGTGCCGATCGTTGTACAGATGAGTCCAGGAGCTGCCAACATGGATCTGGCTGGGGAGTTTGGGGGCTTTTCTTTTGTTTTGAACTGGTTTGTGTGTTTGTTGCTGTTTTCCTAAGCAACGCACCTTCAATGGGGCAGCAAGGGGCCCTGAGCTGGGGTCTGCAAGCCCAGCCTGAATCACCTCTGGTAAATCATTTCTCTGCTCTGGGCCTCGGTTTCTGCTTCTGACCTGTGAGGCTGGGTCAGGTCCATGATGTCATGTGCTGCTGGGCTGTGTGTGTGCATGTGTGGGTGAGCGTGTGTGGGGGGCAGAGACCACCAGAAGCAGCACAGCACATTGTGCAGGTTGGCTGCCTGCCTGGTTTCACGTGCTTGCTCTGTCCCCACCACCAGTGGCACCCTGGGCTAATCCGTTCACCTCCGTGGGTGGTGGAGGTGAACTGCCTCAGCGCCTTGCTGCCTCCATGTTCCCGGGCAGTAGCTGGTGCCCTTCCATTCTGAAATTCCTATCCTCAGCAGTCTTGCTGCCACAGGCATGTTATTTGTGTCGCTTCACAGAGGAGCAAGCCCTGTCCTCTTCATTTCTGGAGCCTTCACTCTGCCTCACCCAGGATTCCCGGAACATGTTTGGCTCATCATCTGTGCTCAGTGAGAAGGCCCTGCTGCCCTTCCTGTCCTTGTGCTGATGTCGTCTAAGTCTGTAGTGGCCATAATTTTGAATAACCAAGTTGTCACACTGCCAGGCCTTTGTTTATGGAAGGAAAAACCACCTGGGTGTTTCTCTCTTTGTGCACAGGGCTTGTTGACTTTGGCGAAATGTTGGAGTGTCCTGAGAACTTAGCTCCTGAGGAAGTTGTGGAATTGGAAAAGCAAGCTGTCCTGGCCATCCTGCAGCAGAAATACCTGACTGTGATTTCCAACCCCAGGTGGAAACTGGAGCCCTTACCTAGAAAAGGAGGAAATGATATATTCCAGGTTGACATCCCAAAGTATCTGATCCCTTTTGACCAGAAGGTGTGACGTGTGTGGGCTCTTGAGATGAATGTAGCTGAGAAACCAGCTAAATCATGGTACCGTTGATTCGCCATCTTGGTGAACGTGCATGTAGATCAGGTTAAGTGTGAATTACCCCTGCGTTGTACCATGATTCCTACTAAATGGCATTCATAGAAACGGGTTTCTGTGCTCACAAGAAGGGAATAGGGGGTGTTGCTGGTCATTTTGTTCCTACTAATGTCTGGGTTGTACAAATAAATGTGTCAAAGTTAACTGAGAAGTGTGTGGGGCTCCTTTATGTTTCCCCAGTCTTTGTTCTGGTCAAAACTCATCAGCTCTTTGATCAGCATCATTTTGACATTTTGCAAAGCGTGGGTCCAGGCACTGAATGGTTGGTCAACAGTGACCAGCCATCAATAGCCTGACTCATCCAGGAGTAAGAGGACATCAGACGTAGAAACTTGCAGCTGTCCGTCCTTCCAGATTCCTCTAGGTCTCTTGCACACGCACCTCCCACTCATGAAGGCCAATGGTTCATGAAGCCCGTGATGTTTTTGTGATTTCCCAGCAAAGTTTCCTAGCACTAGTTAGTTATGAGGATCATGTGCTTCCCCCCCCCCAGGCATGTACTGGAGTTGCTGGTCTCTTCTGAGCCAGGACACATTGGTTGTACCTCCCTTGGCAGATGATGCAGCCTCTTTGGAGGGCCCCTGGTTGCTGGGTTGGGACACTTAGCTGTGGAACAGAAACTTCCTGGGAACAGTGTGGGGACAGTGATGAGGAAGGAATCTCTATTTTCAAGGTACGGGAATAATGTAAGGTAATACTCCCAAGGTCAGGAGTGAGGCTGTTCTGACTCCTGAGCAGCAGGCAAGGCTCAGGGGACTGGATCTTGCTGGGCGAGCCCTCACAGTTTCTAGAAAGTCCTTTGCTGAGTGTGTGGAAATGCTACCTCAAATGGAAGAGGGCCTGTCTTGGGCAGGGTCTTTAGCCTCATGTCCGTGAGACGTGTGGTATAGACGGTTAGAAATGACACGGAGTCCTGGTTCTCATTTAGATGGTTTATTTGTTACCATCGGGTTTTGTTGTGTTTATTAAGACCAAAAATGGGTTCACCCTTTGAAAATGGCCCTTTTTATCACTCCTCAGTGGCTTTTGAGTTTAGGGACCTGGATTGTCCTTAAACTATTCACAGAATGCACACGTGTAATCAGCCCTCCTGCTCCTCCTCATTGGGCGGCTCACTGGGAGACATTTCTAAGAGGGAAGCCATCACAATGGAGTAACAGAAGTTATACAGAGACATTGGGAGACCATTGCCTGGGTAAAGTGGGAGATTGGGGAGCGGGTCCCCTCCAACTTCCAACTCAGGGTTGGCCCTGGGCTCAAACCTAACATACACAGAAGTGGCCCTTTCCCAACTTTGATCATTTGGCTCTTGAGGGGGACGATTTCCTATGGCAAGTCTACCAACACTGCCCCTAGACCCTGTACCCCCAGGGAACATGGAGAACTGAGGGTTACTGGGACCCTGAACGTTTGGGGCTTCCCCCTGGGGCTTGCTGTTGGCTTCTTTCTTGGTATTAATGTGTTGGATTTGCAGGGATTGTCTCGTAGGTACCAGCTTCTTTCTCTTTGCGGTTACTGCACAGGTTGCTGGCACAGCAGTGTTTGTGAGGTCACCTTTTCTATGAATGTTCTCAAGGAGCCCAGGATGATCTCTCTGAAAATTGGGGTTCCTGTAAAACTGAAACAAAAGGAAACATTTCAGGCACTCTGAGATTAGATGTCCATTGCTTTTATCCCCCTGAATCACAAGAGTCTTATTTCATGATGGAGAAAGGAAATGTTTAAGGTGCTGGCAAGTGTCACTGTGCCCTATAGCATGACCTCACTAGAGAGAAACAATTCATAAGTGAGGGTGGCAGTATGTACATTTGACATTCCCTGGCTCTCAGAGTCTCTACTCCTACCCACAGAGTATCTCTAAGGGCATGGTAAATTGAGATCAAAATCTAGATCTTTCAATAAATAATTCCTCATGTTAAAAAAAGTTGTCTTCACAAATGAAATTCTTGTAGTATGTCATTCACCTTGGCGTCCTGTAAAGATGTTTCAGTAACAGAGAAAAAGGGTAAGAGGAATATTTTCTACTTTACCATAAGTTTCTTGTTCCCTCGAGAATCAGCTGAAGAGGCCTTTGTGCGTATTTTGCTGAATCCATAGCGGTTCATTTGGCGAATGAAGGTCTTCATGCTGTCTGTTTCAAAAATCCTGTCCACGCCTCTCCTGTGAAGAATTTCCCTCTGGAAAAGGTCTTCCTCTATGATCATGGTGTGTCCGTCATCATCCCAGCCCACAGACTCGAAAGCGTCATCCTCAACGATCTTCCAGAGCCTCCTCGGGAAGGAGAGTGTTCTGGGGTCACTGTGTTCTACACTGGACGTACGTTGGTTTTGATCTGCTGGTTGTTCATCATTTTGGGAGTCTGCATCTTGTCCCACGGCTTTGTCACCTTGGCCGTCTGATACCTCCCTCAGATCCAGGTTTAGATCAGGTGGGACCCTGCCTGCTGGCTCTCCACCAGAAGATGATGCGAACTGGGTCTCACTGTCGTCAGTATCCTGACTATCCATGAGGCTACACTGTCATCAGGAGCAGTTTGTACCCCACACCATTAACCACTGTCCCAGTAAGTACAAACAGCCTTCAGTCTGAGTGGCGATGCCCAATAAATACTGTCCACATGATTCTAGAATCTCAGTTGGGGGGCAACCAGGGCTTGTCATGTGATGTCACATAGGTGGCTCACGGCCAGTCTGGAGATTGAGGCCTGGACAAGTGATGGGGTGGAGCCAGTGTCTGGGCCACCCTGCTCCTCTCTTTTCTAAAATTGTAGAAAGGGTGGTTCAGATTAACAGAAATGTCTCCCCTGTGGTGACAGACATATGGTTTCACGGGGCCCACCCCTGGATGAGTTGAGCAGCCTTGATCCCATGGCCACTCCCACCCCTGAAGACGGGGGAGGCCTGCTGCTGACCTCTCTGGTTTGCTCAAGGGCCAGTCCTCAGATAGACCTAATATCAGTATCGCCAGGACTGTCTGGGTCAGCTGGGCCTCTGGGTGACTGTACATCCCAGGAGATGGTGGTCCCTACCATGCTGGGAAATCTAGTATAATTTGGTTTCCCTCTTCTCCCCCTCCCCATCTCTTTCCTGCTTTGGTCTCTTCCAAACACTCCTGCTGGTGTGTCTTATTACCACCTGCTCCAGTTGTCCCCAGAGTGGGGCTGCACCTGAGTACGGTGGGAGTGCTCCTCTTGCTCCTGGACCAGAGAGGTACTCAGAGCATGGATGTGTGATTGGAAGGGCACATGCTCGCCGGGGCTTTGCACTGTCAGTGGAGCTCTGCTTGCCTCCAAATGCATCCCTCCACCGATCACAACAGGGTTGTCTTTACTTTCCATTTCTTCCTCATAGATCCTGTTCTCATTTTCAGAGACCCTTTCATTTGTGAGGCCTGCTTTACAAAGACTCTATTCTGAGGAAAGTACCTACTTGTTAAACTAGAAATAAGTAAAGGAATGCAATGCAAAAATACCCATCAACGTGTATTTGAAAACAGATGAGAGTCTGGGGAGCTGGGGGAGCGGTGGGGAAAAAATCCCATTTGCTTATTTTTTCTTTTGTTGCCTGTGTTTTTGGGGTCTTTTTCATAAACTCTTTGACCAGTTGTACTTCCTGAAGTGTTTCCCTTACGTTTTCTTTTAGTAGTCTTATATGGTTGGGTCTTATATATGTCTTTAATCCATTTTTAGTTGATTTTGGTATGTAGCAAGAGGTACAGGTCTAGTTTTATTCTTCTACATGTGGATGTCCAGTTTTCCCAGCACCACTTAATGAAGAGGCAGTCCTTTCCCCAATATATGCTCCTGTTGCCCTTGTCAAATATCAGTTGTCTGTAAGTATGCAGGTTGCTTTCCAGGTTCTCTATTCTGTTCCATTGATCCATGTGTCTGTTTTTATGCCATTAACATGCTGTTTTGGTTACTATACTTTTGTAGTATAGTTCAAAGTCAGGTAGTATAATGACTCTGGCTTTATTTATTTATTTTTGCTCAGGATTGCTTTAGCTATTGGTGGTCTTTTGTTGTTCCATATGATTCTTAGGATTGTTTTTTCTGTTTCTATGAAGAATGTCATTGTTATTTTGGTGGGGATTACATTGAATGTGTACATCACTTTGGTTAATGTGAACATTTTCACAACGTTCATTGTTCCAGTCCAGGAGCATGGAATGTCTTCCCATCTTTTTCTGTCCTGTTTAATTTTTTGTTTCCATTTGCATGGTATATCTTTTTCACTATTATTATTCACTATTTTATATTTTTATATACTATTTTATATACTATATTAATATATTTTTATATTTTTAATACTATTTTATATATTTTTACATACTATTATATATTTGTTATATTTTATGCATTCAGTATTTATCACATCCCTTCACTATTTCTGTGTGTTTTTACAGGTGAAGTTAGCCAGTTGAAGACAATGTATAGTTGGGTCTAGCTTTTTAATCTAGTCAATCAGTTTGTGTCATTTCAGTAGTGTGTTTAATCCATTTACATTTAGGGTTGTTATTGAAACGTATTGTGTTGCTCCTGGCAGTTTATTGATTTTCATTTTGATATTTTAAACACTTTTTGTTCCTTTCTTCCCTTTTTATTGTTTGTCTTTGATGGTTGTTGGTTTTTTGAGGTGGTAAGATTCAGTTTCTTTCCCTTCTTCTTTTGCATTTTTGTTCTACCAGTGGATTTTTTTCTTTCTTGTGTATTCATGGTAGTGGTTATCTTTTTTTTTTTTTTTTTTTCCAGAGTCAGTGAATGTCCACTAGGATTGAGAGTGTACTGCCTCTGGCTCTTATGCCCTGAAGGGGAAATAATTCACAGTGCCTTCTCAATCCCGTCAGAAAAAGGCATTATAGGAGCTCCGGTCTCCCTCAGCTTCGGCCTCTTAGGCTTTGAGGAGCCTTTGGCTGCCACTCAAACAGTCTTTCCAAGGAACCTGCCATGCACAAGCAACTTTGAGAGAAATGATTAGTTTTCTCTTCAGTGCTCCAGAGACCCAGAGATGACCCCTCAGTGTCACCAGCTTAGGAATGGAATCACCACAGTCCTGCCTCCCAAGCAGAGCACAGCTGACTCATGTACTTGTGAGGACCAGTGACCCCCTGGGAAAGTTATCTAAGTTGTAACTTGCTGCATATTTGCTGCAT